CCGCCTCCTTGACCTGTCTGTCTTCTCTCCCACCTATCCACTCCTCCAACCTCACTGACCAACCCCCCTCCCCCACTTCCTATCTACACTCACCTTCACTACCTAACTACACGCTCTTTCTATCCTTCAGGTTTACTAGAAGATTCACTGCTCTATTTCAGGGACAATAATTTTGTAAGTCTCCCATAAACACAAGAAAGGCAGCATTCTTTATCTCTTTATAGCCTTCAAACATCATGATTTCCCTTTTGCAAGCATAAGGAAGTATGTAATGGTATAATATGTAAGGGATACCATTCCGTCCATTCTGCCTCTGCCAGTTCTTTGAAAGACTCATCCATTTAGTCAACACCCTTGCTCTTTCCCCATGGTCGTGAAGTATTTTCTCTTCAAGTATTTATTCAATCTCTTTTTGAAAATTACCACTGGGGGAAGATGGTGGCATAGCAGTGATGTCACTGGACTAGTAATCTCTAGACCCAAGGACCGTCAAATCCCACTATGGAAGCTTGTGGACTTTACTTTTAAAGAATAAATCTGTGATATAAAACTAGTTGGTGACAATGAAACCATCACAGATTGTTGTTTAAAAACAAAATCTAGTTCATTAATGTCCTCCAGGAAAGGTAACCTGCCACCTTTGGACTACAATACCCACAGCAATCTGAGTGACTCTTAATTACTTTCTGAAATGGCTTGACAAGCCATGGACAACAAATGCTGGACTTGCCAGTGACACTTATATAGCATTCAAAGAATTAAAAGAGGAATTAAATAAAGAATAAACTGGTTCCACCACTTCTTCAAGTAGTGCATTTCAAACCATTATAGTTCACTATGGAATGCTGGCTCTTTCTTTATGACAGTTACCTTAAAACTGTGACCTTTTGTTGCCAATCCTCTGCCATTAGGAACAGTTTCTCACCATTTAAGCTTTCAACACTCAATCATTTTGAACGTCCCTGAATTTTGTCCTTCAACCTTTCAGAAAAGTGAAATTTTGCAGTACAGAAGGAGGAAAGTGTTCAACGTAGAGTTGAAAGCAGGGTCAACGTATTGAATCCTGTCACTCTTCATCTTCATCAGAGCTGATTCTAAATGTTAACTCTGTTTTCTCCCACACAGATGTTGCCAGATCTACTGAGTTGTCCCACAATTGCTGTTTTTATGCCATGAATTTCAATGTTTGTTTTTATAGGAAATTAAAGGAGCTTAAATGTAGTGAATGAGTTTTTAATCAATGAGAACTGTTTTCTGAAATAGTCATTTAAAAACTCTATTTAATCCCAGCATAGATGCTGATGTTTTCTGATGTGGCTGCTAGTTGAGTTGACATGGTGACTGCTAAGGAAATAAGCGGCATGGGGTGGTGAAATGTGTTGGCATGAACTGGCATTAAGTTGGCAGAGTGGCTATTATGGGCTATGGGAGAGAGTGGAGGGGCATAGGTTGAAGTGAACTGTATGAGATATCCACAGGGCTGGATTGCTGGGGTGGGATGACCTGGCATGGGTTGGCAAGGATAAGATGTGTTTGTACGTGAGGGGAGGGCTACCTTCAATTCTATGCTTTGTTTTCCATTCATTGGAAAAAAAAGTGTTGGTGCAGACTGTATGCCTAGTCACCTCTGTGCCTGGCAATGTCCACACTGTATCTGGAGTTGCTCTCACAACTCCCATAGAGCATAGAACATAGAACATAGAACATTACAGCGCAGTACAGGCCCTTTGGCCCTCGATGTTGCGCCGACCTGTGAAACCAATCTGAAGCCCATCTAACCTAAACTATCCCATTATCATCCATATGTTTATCCAATGACCATTTAAATGCCCTTAAAGTGGGTGAGTCTACTATTTTTGCAGGCAGGGCATTCCACGCCCTTACTACTCTCTGAGTAAAGAACCTACCTCTGACATCTGTCCTATATCTATCACCCCTCAATTTAAAGCTATGTCCCCTCGTGCTAGCCATCACCATCCGAGGAAAAAGGCTCCCACTGTCCACCCTACCTAATCTAATAGAATTCAGCTACCAAGTTCAGGGGCCCTTTTCCCAGGCTTTCAGAGCCAGGAATTGTCCCAACTCAGAGTTTTTGACACAGCAGTGCTATTTCAGCATGAAAATGTCTCCATCTATACCTCTAAAGATTCTTCAAACTTTCAACAGCCTTCTTAAAATTTCTAATGCAGACGCTTCACAATAACATTCCCCCCTAACATAAACACACTTTGATGTACTCTGCACCAAAAAGAACACTACTTTGATACAGACCATATCACTCAGAAGAAAATACTCCTTACAAATCTAACACACCTCAAAAGTATTTCTATAATTCAATCATATAGTTCACAATAACAATTCTTTGATTTACTCCAAGCTTCTCACAGTAATATAGTATTTGAAATAACAAGAGTCCTTGCAGTAGGGCTTCCCAAAGTGAACATGGGGACACTAAGTTGGGTTGTGAGCTGAGATTTAGGGATACCAAGCTCTGAGACAGCAATGACCACCATGGAATAGAGTTAAAACGGCTGGACCCCAGGTGCCAGAGTTCTCTTAATATACAGCAGATCCCTCATAGTACCATTGATACCCCTTACACTTCAATATGCCTCATCTTTGATTAACAACTCCTAGCTGGATGAAAGATAAATGATCAATGTCTTCAAAACAAGTCAACTGAGGAATTTAGGATTCTACAACTATTAACTTATGAACATACGAACAAGGAAGAAGAGGAGGCCATTCAGCCTTTCGATCTTGCTCCACTGTTCAACAAAATCATGGCTGATCAGATTTAACCTCAAGTTTACATTCCTAAATATCTCAAAAATCTTTTATTCCTTCAGTAACCAAGAATCTACCTGCCACTACATTAAAATATTTAAACATTCTGCATCCAATGCTTTTTGAGAAAGGAAATTCCAAAGAATCTCAACCCTCAGACAGAAAAAAAATCTTTTCCTCATCAGTGTCTTAAATGGGTGCCCCCTTTATTTTTAAACTACGACCCCTAATTCTAGATTCTCTCACAAGAGGAACTATCCTTTCAACAGCCACTTGGTCAAGTCGCTCAGGATTTTAGGTTTCAATTAAGTCACCTCTGATTCTTCTAAACTCCAGAGGATAGAGACCTAGTCTGTCAAGCCTTTCTATAACACATTCTGCTCATTCCTGGTATTAGGGCAGTGAATCTTCTCTGAACTGTTCCCAATGCATTAACATCCCTCTGTAAGTGTGGTGACCAGTACTGTACACAGTAAGGAATTCACAGTCAGTAGCATAGAACACAACTAAACAAAGAAATTCATAATTTTTGAAGGGCCTGACCATTTGATTAAAATTAACAAATCACTTTTGAGTGCAAACAGCTTTGTTTCTGCAAATAGAAAGAACTGGACGCAATATGGGAAGTTTTGACGTAACTTAGAACATACCTTTTGGCTCCATTGTTGCTTAAGTGCTCAAGTGCTGCTTAGTGTCTTCAATGGGAAAGAACAGCAACATACAAGAGATTAGTCAGGACAAAAGCCTGATTTCCTGATTGTTCTACGGATTCTGAAGGTGGATATCGAAGATATCTACATTTTTATCTTTTTGTCCTCCTTTACAGCCTGCAAAATAAAAACAAAGAAACAATTTTGTAGTGCAGTGTAATTAATCTGTGTTTGTGAAAAAGTTCCATCTTAACCCCACTTGTATAACTTTAGTAAATACTGATATTTTTATGTGAATGGCTTCTTAAAAATGCGTTTTTAAAAATGATTTGCAATATCATAACAATCACAACCACTCTATTGCAAAAACTGGATTTTTTTTGCCATGAAAATCTACTATATGGCCTGAGCTGTACAGTTGACACAGGAAGCTGGAGATGGGAAGTGGAAGCAACAATCACCACATGTGGTTTGTGCAGAGGTGTATGAAAAAATAAATTCACAGCGTCATAGTAACACTACTTCCGTAGCTAGAAAAACATTAAATATTGCATAGAAATGGTGCAAGACATTAGGTTTCTTTCATTTAATTTAAAGAGACTGAAAACAGCAGGAATTCTTCAATAATTAAACAACTGATTGGAAATTATAAATTAAAAATCTAAAACATAATTTTAGATGAAGCAAAACGTACAACAATTTGCAATTTTCCTCAATATTTATTTTAGTTTTAGTGCTTGTTGTCTGTTCTAAATCTTTTATACGTCTAGAGACTTTCCTCTTCCTAAACTTTCCTTTACATAAAATAAGTATGACTCTCCTTTTTGAATCCAGACAAAATTAGAAAAGAAGACAGTTGATAAGGATGGAAAATTGAAGAAATGCAGCCTGCTACAAGGTCACGGTCTAGCTTGCATTTCCTTTCCCTATATCCATTGTTACTGCTGCTGAACCGCACTTTTTAATTGTGGTAGTGCTGTGCTTTGTGTTGAATTATTCATTCAATGTTCACATGCTTCCCAGGGATGACACCAGGATTAACCAACATTAAAAGAGACATTGCCTTGGAGTGGCCTCCATTCTGACCAGCACTTAGCTAACGATATCCACCTTGGTCTTTGTCACAGATAGCCATTAGATGGATCTTTTGGGGGCATTGCTGTGTCTTTAGCTGCCCGGCCATCTCTTTTGATCTAGCATCAGGAGCAGTTTCACTTTCACCAGATTGTTTGGCAGATAATATGGACACTCTCTTAGCAGTTGGAAACCTACTCAAAGCCTATATGCATACCTGACTTGTCATCACCAGAAATTAGGTTGGACTATGGTGCTAACAAACAGGCTAGTGTTTGCCGAGCCTTGCTGGAGGCTTCTGGTCAATCATTTTACTGAGTTGAATATTAGCTTTAAAAGACTGATGTTCCAGTCAATTATAAGCTTGTACGTGAAAGGTGACTTGGCCAACTTTTCGACAAATCTTGTGTGTGGCTGACGCACATAAATACATGGAAAAATAAACTCATAAAAGAAATTCAATTCTGAAAGGACAACTCTGAAACCATCTTCATAAAGGGCATTCCACAGTACTGATAATGAATATGGACACATAATTAAGAGATCACAACATCTGCTTTTACACGAATAAGCAGCAATGAGAAATGAAAGCCAGTACGGTATAAATAAGCAAAAGAGCTGATGCAAAGAGGCAAATGACCTGCATATATCCAAATGAAGTGTGAACAGACAGTCCACTACGTTTCCTCTATTTCCTAGCACATTCTCCTAGCGCTCTTCCCCAGGTTCTGAAAAAGTAACATCTGAAATAATAACTTAAATTGTAGCTTATTTACAGATTATGTGAGGCAAAAGCAAAGTCATACATTCTGGACCAGTGAACCTTGTAGTAGAAGATTAAACTCTCTTTACCACAAACACATTAATGGACTTCGTGCTGTCGATTAATAATCTTCAACAACTGTACCTAAATGTTATTAATTCAAACAGGATTAACATTTACTGCTTCTAAAACAAGTATTGTAGAGCAAATTAGGCCAGTGGATACATATAGTCATATTACATCATATTAATATGCATGTTAATGCTAAACATCTTCAAAAAAAAAGGGAACAAGAAATGACCATTTGAACCAATTCCTCTATTCTCCAAACTATACACAGAGGAAGCAAGAAGTCAGAAAAGAAAGGGGAAAGAGAAAGGAAAGAAATCTAGACCACGGAATCAGATCCTGGGCCATTGCCAAATATGTACTTTTGCTTCTTGCAGTCAATAACGCTGACTTGTAAGCCTTCTGACTGGACCTCACTCCTTCAAAATGACAGTTTGTGCCTCAGTTATCTGAAGTCCCCTTCTGCTTCCCTGTATTCAATGTTTTCTCCTGTTAGCACTTGGCAGAATTCAGCTTATAGCTTCGCCTCAGTTGTTATGATACTCTTCCTATACTCCCAGCTTAAAACTTGGCTGGTTTTTCTGGATCTTGATTCCCAGGCACATTTCAGTCACTCTCTATCTTGCAGCTTTTTTTTTAAAACATGTAACCTTTGCTGTGACGTTGCTATATGCTCCCTGCACATGTCATCACACCTATTAAAGAACTAAAAGCTGGCAGTCATGGTATTATTAAAAGCAAAGCAGAGTTAACATTGAATTTGAAGAAGAGAATGTGTACTGATGGAGAAAGAGCAGCTAACAACAATAATTTGTACTTCGAATGGTGCAGTTAAATATTAAAACATCTCAAAGTGTTTCACATAAATGATTATTGATCCAAATTTTTCAGGCCTATGTATTTGCAATGGCTTTGCACTGGAAATGTGTGGTTCACTGGAATTAAAGTATCAGAGAATCTTTTAACATTCAAGGAGGCCATTTGGCCTGGCATACCTGTGCTAACTCTTTAAAGAGTTTAGCTTAGACACAGAACCCTGCTTTCTTTCAGCAATCCTACAAATTCATAATCCTTAAATACTTGTCCAAATAACCTATGGAAACAGTTTCCACTACCGTTTGAGGTAGCATGTTCCAGATCCCAACAGCTCCAAGTGGAAAAAAAAATTCCTCTTCTCCCTCTTGCTGTTGATTATAAATTTATGACCATTTGTCACGGCACCAGTTACCCAAGGAAACTGTTTTTCTCAATCTACTTGATTAAAACTTCTCATCATCTTGAAAACTTCTGCATGGCAACCTCTTAACCGTTTCTGTTCTTAGGAGAGTTTGCAAACTGTCCTCAAACTAGAGTTCCATCATGTTCATGGCATCCTGTTAAACCATCTGTACCCTCATTACAGCTTCTGCATTTTTCCTGAAGTGTCATGCTTAGAATTATCTGTAACAATGTAGCTCTGATTCCAACAGAGATTTATAAAGTTTTGGCATGATTCCTTTGCTTTCTTAATGTTTGTCAACATATATAAACTCAAGTAGCCCATATACTTTTTATAAATCAACTTGAATTGCCACCTTAAAGGTTTATGTATCGTCCACAAGGTATTTTTGTTCGTTTTCACTTATCAAACCTGTGCCATTTACGTTACACTATTTCCACCGTACACCATTTCACAATTCCTCTGCCCATGCCATCCTGAAGTCTATAAATATCTTCCTCACTATCTGCAAAGTTGTTAAGCTTTGTAGCATTGAGAATGTCAGAGAATGGGAAGGTGGCGTGCTGGTGTCAACAGAACATTCTTGCCTTTTTTTAAATCTTATTCTGCCGTTCATTAAATGTCAGCAAAATACGTGATGAAGCTATGTGGTTTGATGCAAAATTTGTTCAATGTACCAACATTGTAGTCTTTCTTTATCTAGATCTGCCTCAGGAAGAACAGCCAGATCCTGGCATATTTGCCCCTATCAACACTTCAGATCACACAGCATCACTGACTGTTAGCCTCCCAAGCACCAACTTAGATACATTCATGTAGATTTAAATACTGAGCTGTAAGGGAGGTCATTGGATAACACAGTATCAGTTATCATAGAGTTCTAGTAGCTGAGGAAGAGAGAATTTGTTGCCAAGAAAACATATTTGCAATGTGCCTTAGTCCAGAAGTCTAGAAAGGTAGATCTCATTGATAAGACATTGTGTTCCTCCAGCTCCACAGCAGGCCAGGCAGCATAAGTGGAACAGGAAAGTTGACATTTCAGGTCGAGACCGTTTTTCTGAAAAAGGATCCCGACCCGAAATGTCAACTTTCCTGCTCCTCTGATGCTGCCTGGCCTGCTGCGTTCCTCCAGCTCCATACAGTATTGTCTCTGACTCCGACATCTGCAATTCTTGCCATCTGAGTAGATCTCATGGATTCTGCTTTTACAAGAACGCTTGCTAAGAACATAGGGTACCTTACCAGTGTATAATAAATGTTAGTTTAGCTTCATAGTATTCATTAATGTATCCCCGGATATCCCTTGTTGTATCACATTCCACATTAGATACCGATTTACACTGTTTCGCGAGTGCAATCTTGCATCTTTGATCATTGTTCAAGCTCCAAACTAATTTCAATCAATCAATGGGGGATCTTTTCCCTTAATTACAGTTACAGGCCAATTGCTTCATTTGATTTCTGTAACATGGACATTAATTTTGCCAGGGACTAGCAATGGGTTTCCAGATTAATCTTTCCAGAAAGTATTGTTTACTGGTTGGACAATTTTGTCAGATGTTTTCTCTTATACTTTTGATAATATAATTGATTCTGAAGTGCAAATATTCAGATCAAATCTGCTTTTAATACTTCTTTTCAAACAATGGTTTCAATTCTTTTATCCTCCCTTTTTATGGTGGAATGTCAGCATTCAAGTCTCTTCATTTGTTTTGTTCTGGGATAGGATTTCTTCCTCAAGTTCTTTCTTAAAAGTCATATAACACAGAGAGGGGATTATTAACCTTTATTATTTGAATGGGACTTTCAAATAGCCAATATTGACACAGTTATGATATTCTACCTTCAAACAAAAACTTAGATGCAGGCAAATGATTGAGCTATGCTGGTCACCCCAGTAACTTGTAACTCCAGCAGTACAGCAGCAGTCTACATCCCAAATGTTATTTTGAGAGCTGCAGCAGATATGTATCTGTCTCCTTATCAGCAGTTTCCTCTATACTGAGGTTTCCTTCAAACCGTAGGCAAAATAATCAATTGCATCGTTGAGATACCCACCAACGTCAGATCATTTCTTCAGTTCTGCTACAAATTGAAACACACATTTTTATTACACATTTGTATTAACTTTTGAACAGTTTTGTGATGACGAGTAGATTCATGCTCGTATATTCTAAGTCTACTTGAATTAATTTCTCGTAAAGTTTGTCTTTAGAGGTGGGCAGGAACAATCTGATCCTCATTGTATACGTTTACAATAGCTTCACTATTTTCAACATTGATTGTAAATTCACTTGCCTTAAGGTAAAAGCCAAGTCTTTTCACATATTTATTCTTGCTCAACCCCATTTTATACTCCCGGATTGCTCCAACTAACAGCATCGTAATAAAACAAATAATGTTTTGGTGACAAGTAGTATCAATTAGGTATGGAATAACTAAGTAATAAAGATAAACTTTCTCAGCAGTTCTAGGCAGAATCTCAGAATGCATGAATACAGTGATGCCGTGTCCCAGAGTCACCAAAGAATATACATGAATAGGTGAGTCTGTTCAGTTCAGCCATCTTGAGTAAGGAAGGGAGAATTACACAAAACATTTCTTTGCAAAGTAAACATTGGAAAAAAAACTACTCCTTGACCACATGAAGTGAGAGCTGCAGGCAGCCAGAAATCGCAAGTCTATACAAGTTTCAAAGGCTATGATAAGATCATCAGGGCTGACTGCCTCAATACTTCAGAGGTATGTTGCCTTGGGAGGAGCACAATCTTTCAGAGAAGATATTAAGCCAGGACCACATCTATACATTCAGATGGATACTAAAGACTCCACTGTTCAAAGGAGAATCAAGGATGGGTTATGGCTTTGTTTATCCCTCAACCAAACAACAGTCTGAAAGACTTTATATCATCCATTGTAAATCGGATAATCACGATTAAGGCTTGGAAGTGCATCTTTATTTCCGGATCTCTTGAGAATGTGAAAGATTCAACTTATTTACTTGACCTTGTATTTATATATGTTTCATAAATCTTATAATGATCAAATTGTTTGTAAGTGTTTGGTTTAAACTATTGAAGCCCAAGAACCGTGTACAGCTCTAAGAATGGGCTAGAGATTACTAATCAATGGTACTGCATTCACTATCTTAAACATGCAATAACATGGTGGCAGTGTGTACCACCTGCAAAATACACTGCAGTAACTCACTGAACCTCTTTCAACAGCATTTATAAAAGCCACAATCTCCACCAACTGAAACAATGAGGGCAAGCAATGCCAGAGAACACAACCACCTGAAAGTTCCCCTCCAAGCCACACATCATTCTAACTGGAATCAAATACAAATCTTTCACGGTCATTAGTTCAAAATCCAAACAGCAATGAGAGTGCATCTCCACCCCATTTTCCTGACTGATTAATACTTTTTCAGCTTTATAGTTATGAAGCATCTTTTATTCTTATTCAGAGCTCTAAACTCCGAGGAAACTTTAAGCCTATTCACATCCAACAAACTGTTGTGAAAATTCTGCTCACATTTCACAGCGGTGATATATTATCTCAGCTGATGCAGTATAATTCACAACACACTAAATCAGTCAACATTCTACAAGAAACTTCTCCGCATCTCAGTGCTAATTGATTGATCTCTTATCCTGAGATTGTGCCCCTCTGTT